GGGCTCACGGGCGGCGAGGAGGAGCCCGTCGCCTCCCTCGCCCCCTCCCCGGCTGCGTGTGGCGAACGCTCAGTTTGTTGCTGTATGTTTCTGAGTGGCTTTTGTCCTTCTGTGAAAGCTCCCTGTTCTCTGAAAATTCACGCTGTCTCTTGGGTTCCACTTTGCAGACTGTTGAGCCTGGTTCATGCATGCCTGCTGGTTTTGAGTGGCAGCGACCCTCTTAAATGAGTCTTCTTTTTGAAGTGTAAGGGTAAAATCCTTCTCAATAATGTTTTAACTGCTTAGGGTGACATTGACACAAATTCTCCTGTTTGTAGATGCTCTGGCCTGACTTTTTTTTTCTTTGCTTTTATAGCTGGAGCCATATATGGATGAAAACTTTGTTTCAAGAGCCTTTGCCACCATGGGGGAGCTTGTACTGAGCGTAAAAATCATTCGAAACAGGTTGACAGGGTAACTGTTCATGCTTGTTCTCAGTTTGTTCTACGGGTGCGTTTGGATGGACCCGTTTGCCCCCTCGCCAGGGTCCTCCCCGTGTCAGGAGGATTTTCCCTGCCAGTTTTTCACCATTTGCTGCCCACAACATGGGGATGTTGGTGAGAGCTGTGGGGAGGACGATTGCTGGCCCTTCAACACACCAAGGGTCGGCCCTCACCCTGTGGTGCTGCAGCACTGGTCCAGAGCAGCATGTGTGTGTCATACAGTGACATATGTCATACAGCCCCTCTGGGAATGACACCTCCTGGGCTTCAGGTTTTGGGGACGAGTCCCTGTTACTTGTTACTCTGGTGCAGCATTGTGGTGCTGGCAGAGGTGGGAAGCCTGACTTAGAAAGAGCAATATGAGAAGCTTTGAAGTTGGGTTGGAATGAAATGAGATGACTGTGTGCAGGATGAAGTAATTTCGTATTCTTGTAAATGTTGTAATTGCAGATTTCAGTTGTTTAAACTTGGGTGGGAAAATTTGTAGTCCGTGAAAGTAGGAAGTAAACGGATTGTGAGCAGAACTGTTTTCTGTGTGCTTGTGTTGCCCTGATTTACTGGTAAGTAGGAGCTATCACTTCACTTAAGATCCAAGATTACTTTGCTGGCTTCTTTTTGGTACCTGACATTTATACTTTGAAAAAGAAATTGTTCTAAGTATTGCAACTGTAGCAAATTTCCTACCAGTTATCTAAAAGTGTAGTAGTCCTCCTCAAATATGTTTTATATCTGACCTCTTTCTCTCCTCTCCTGTGTCGTGTGTTCAGAATTCCAGCAGGCTATTGCTTTGTAGAATTTGCAGATCTAGCTACTGCAGAGAAATGTTTACACAAAATCAACGGGAAGCCGCTTCCTGGTGCTACACCAGTAAGTACCTGAAACCAGCCAGCTGGGAACCCAGGCTGGGAAGGAGCAGAGAGTGTGGAAACTCTGTTTTGGATGATTACAGACAAATTTAATAGTTACCAATCTGGGATTCTTAGTTAAAGTAATGAGCATAAAACTATTCAAGTGCTTGCTCAGAAAATCGTTGGGTAAACCCGACTAATTTCTATGCAAATGTCAGGATAAAATCCAGGTCTAGAGATGTTGTGGTGTGTTGTTTTGTTTTGTTTTTTTTTTTTATTTCTGAGCCTTTTCACTATTGTCAAAGTTAGACTAGTGAGAAACCAGAGAAGAGCAAGGAAAATCCAGATGGAGTGTACCTCCTGCAGTCCTGCTGCCTTGCTCCACTCGTAACTCCCTGTTAATTCATCCCAGCCTGTGTGGTGTTACAGACATTCCAGATGAACCTGCAAGTTCACAGAGTTTTGAGTTTTCTCTTTGCAAGAGAAACGTGGCTTTTAAGCCAGCCATTATTCTTGGCCTTTAGCAAGCCAAAGTTATTCAAACCTATTTCCAGTGGAGAAGGTGCTAACAATTTCCTAATTGCAGTGCATAAGAAAAGTCTCTGGTACATAAAAGTGAGGTGGGGAGGTAGGAAGAAGAGGAGGAATAATCCCAGAGGCTAATTTTAGGCTGTTGACTCCAACGTGTGGTGGATTAAACCAGGCTGGCTGACACAGCTGCCCAGTGTAGCCACAGGAGCTGGGATGACTGGTTCATAAAGCAGCTCTGGAATCACCTCGCTTTGGGTGTGATATCTAAAGCTAAATCAATGCCTGTTTCAGGGTCTTCAGTACCCTGAGGAGGAAGTGGAGGTTGAACTACTTGGTGAACCTTCCTGAGAGGATGGTGTCCCCTGTTAGAAGGGGCCTGGAGAGGCCTGGAGGGAGCAGCTTCACCTGCCCTGTTTAATATGCAAACCAGAGCCTGTCATTAAGGGCAGCTCATCTTCCTCCATGCCTTCTAGAGTCACTAGAGACACAAAGAGAGCAGCTTGTGCAAGGAGGGATGTAATAATGGAAGTTTGGGTTTGGGGATACCCATTTCTCTGCATGGTTTAACTCACAGTGTTGTGCAGAGGGGTCACTTACATAACACATGGAGGGAATTAGGGACGTGGGACAGATCCAACATAGGCACTAAATCAGTGCACTCAGCAGGCAACTGTCCAGCTCTTCTCTTGCATTTCAATACTTTTTCTGTTGTTTACAGAAAACTGAGTGTGGCTCACTCTTTATTTTTAAATACTGAATCAGCTAAAGGAGCAACAGAGTTCCCAAAGTGCTGGTGCTGTCTCAGTTTTACAGAATTAGAGCCTCCAGTTCCCATTTGAGTGGAAGTACTCTCAGGTCTCTTATTGATTTTAAACCCAAAATACTGATATGAAGGGCAAGGTGAAAAAAAAAAAAACAAAGATGAAAGTGCTTCAAAGTGGAATCTGAATTTTGTGTTAGCTTGTAAATGGTCCACAGAGTTGTGTAGTCTGGCACACCAGCAAATGCAAGCACACAAGGAACAGGATTATAACCTAGAGTTAAGTCTTTGCTCTATTTCCCAAGAATTATTCACACTATCTTTGAGGGAAGAAAGTAGATCATAAGGTGCAGGAACACACTGTGCTCTCCACTGTGCTGATTAATACCCTGAACTCTAGGTTATAGACTCACAGCAGGCTCCTTTCTCTGGCCAAATTCCCCTTGAATTCTTGTTGTGCCACTAGTGCAGAGGAATATCTTCACTGGAAACCTGTTGGGAGATAGAAAAACAGTTTTGAAGCCACTCAAGCTGATGAGGGCATCCAAGCTTAGGTCTCACTCTGGCTGGGCGAGCTGGGACAGCAGTGTTGTGGTACAGGAGCACAGCCCTGTGTTCCTCCTCTCAGACAGGATTCAGAAGGAGCTAGCAGTTACCACTGCACTGTGGGGAGCCTGCTTGGGCCCCTCTGTGCTAAGCATCAGGTAGAAGTGTCCATGGGGTTTAGACCCTCGGGATTTTGAGGCAGGATCTGCTCCTTAGATATTGGTCAAGATTTAAATGAGAGTTGGGCACAAGCTGCTGAATGGTGGTAGGATGGGGGCTGGGAGTTCAGCTGGGCCAGTGGGCATCAACCTGGGCTCCTGGGAAACATAAAATCAGGTGTAAAGTTCAGGGAGGCCTCTAGTGTCCGATGACAAATAATCCTTTTTTAAAAAAAACCTTAATTTTGGATCTTACTAAATGAGCACATCACCCAGAGCAGAGTACTTAGCTGTACTTCCACACTTGGGGATTGATTCCATTTTCCAGTGTGGTGGATTCTGCTCTGCTGCTATTCCTATAAACCACAAATGCCCAGTGGTCTGTGCTGTCCTTTCATTTTAAGACCTTAAAATTCCAAGTCATTTGATGTTTATTCCTAGTACCTGTGTTTTGCTGCCTTCCTTAAAGTCACAAAAATCTGATGCCACACCAGGCACCTGCCTCTCTCCAGCCTTATAAACTGTTAAAAATAAAGACAGGCCCAACCTTGTGGCACAGATCCTTTGCTGATTTTCATTCTTCTAGCATTAAGAAAGTTGTGTAAAATCAGCTTATTGGTTTTTTTTCCTGATTGTTTGATTTCTCATGAGAACTTTTGAATGCATGGATTTGTTTTTGTTTCAGGCAAAGCGATTTAAGCTGAATTATGCAACGTATGGAAAGCAGCCTGATAACAGGTAAGAGCTCAATATTTAAATCTGAGTTTTGCCTGCTTAATGTCTCTTTATCAATTGCCTTGCAAAGAGTATTCAAAGTAGGTGGACCCACAAGTTTGCCATTGCAGAGGGAGGGTCACTTGGCCTTCCTGTCACTTGTCTCCGTTGCCTTTTGTGTGGCCTAGCAGATTGGTCAGGAGTGTCTTTTAAGGCATTTAAACTTTATAGCATTGAAGTATCTAATCTGTATATTGTAATAAGAGATCAATATGTTGGAAATAGCAGAGCTACAAATGAGACATTAATGGCTTCTTGCTGTGTTAGAAATCCAGAGATAGGCTGTGAGAACGAAGCAATGAAATTACCTTTAAAATAAAAAGAAGTATTGAGTAGCTTGGTTGTGCTGCTGACTTGAAAAAAAACATCAGTGACAATTTTAGTCATCTGTGCAACTTAACTGGTGACAATTTATCCACTAAACAGTCTTTTAATATCACTTTTTTCTGAAGTGAAATGTTTCAGCTGCATATCACCTATCACTCAGCATGCCTCTTTCTGTGCAGTTGTGCTTAAGAAGTTTTCTGTTCATTTCTTTAGCCCAGAATATTCACTGTTTGTGGGAGACCTGACTCCTGATGTGGATGATGGCATGTTATATGAATTTTTTGTTAAAGTTTATCCATCGTGTAGAGGTGGAAAAGTTGTTTTGGACCAGGCAGGAGTATCCAAGTAAGTCATCTTTTATTCATTCTTTTCTTTCACTTCACAGACACCAAGATGAATGATTGAATGCAGCAAGGGAAAAAGAATAGATCTATCAGCTTAGCTTTTAGTAATCTTAAAATACAATGTTCTTGAACATTCAGTCTGCAGTACACTGGGCTTTTGATAGTCACCACAGTGCATTGTCACCCCTCTGGCAGTGTGGTGCCCTTTGTGTGTTGGCAGTGTGTTATTGCACTTCTGAAATGCCAAAAAAATGTTTGAACAGTCATCTTGAAACACTGGCCTTCTGGATTCTCAGCTGGATTTGTGCTTTTATAGTCTTTAGTTCCTGAGAAAGCTTTATGGGGTTTTGTTTCAAGCAGGGGAGGGCAAACAGGACTGTGATTCATTGTCAGGTGCTTAGTAGCCACCTTGTTCATCTTGACTGGAAATATGTGGCCAAAAACAGTTGTCCAAAAGATTTTTTAACTTTCTTAAAATATTTTCTAAAGAGCAGAAAATGAAACTATATTTTCCTAAAAGAGGGACCAACTAGTGAGCATCTGTGTTCTCAAAACAGAACAGAACTGTATAGAATACGTGTGAGAATGTTCTGATAAGACCTGGAATATGGCTGCAGACCTGCCCTCTTTCTCACATAAGGTTTGTCAGTCTTGGACAGGAACCTGTGGAAGTCTCTGGTCCATCTTCCCACTCTGAGCAGGTCTGCTGCCAGTGCTAGATCAGGTCAGCCATGAATTGTGTAGCCTGGAAAACCTCCCAGGATGGCAATAATCCAGCCTGTCTGGGCAGCCTGCTCCAGAGCTGTGCTCCCTCCCTGGTGATGAAGTTCTTCTTCAAGTGCAACCTGAGTGGCTTGCAGAGCTGCTCAGTCATTCTCTGGCTCTTAAGGACTCACCAGAGACCAACACTGCTGGGGTGGACTCCAGGTGCTGTGCCAGGGTGTTCCTGCCAGGGACTTTGTTGTGACTTGTGCAGTTACTCAAAGCTGAGGCAAATGCAAGTGTCCATGTGATGGGAGAGGGGAAGATGGAGCTTGTGGACGTGCCTGGTGAAGGTTTGGCCCTTCCAGCCAGGGCTGGTAGATCAGGGCTCCTCCTCCTCCCTCAGAGAGGAGCTTGGAGCCTGATGGTGCAGTGCTGTGCCTGCTGCTCTGCAGGGACAGCACAGAATGTCTGCTAGGGAGGGCCTGGCCATTAAGAAACCATTTCTTGGTGGGTTTTGTTCTGTAGTAAAATCCATTTTATTTATTGGTGTGGAAAAAAATGAGTGTCTGGAAAAGCTGGAAGAATCCCTGCCTGCCCTCCTGCACCCAACAGCACCCACCCCCTGTACAGTACATCCAGCTCTATCTGTCCATCTCTCTTTTGGAACTGCCAATATTCCTAGTTTCATTTGCACACTCCTGGTCTCCTCTGAAAAGCTGCAGGAGCCTTTGTAGCAGCTTAGAAACTTACACACTTTTGAGCAGGAACACCTAAAACTGATTTAAACGGAGTTAAGAACTGACTTGCCCTGGTTTAATTTGTCCTTTCACAGAGGGCAAGTGACACAGAGTGTGTCCCCATGCAGTTTTGCTCTTGCTTGCTTCTCTGGTTTGTACCTAGACCAGCCTGGGCTTTGGTTTGCTCTCCCCTGTGTGAGCAGTTCACATCCACACGTGCATAGATCTATAAAAACATACACTTGGACTTGTGCATACGGCTGGCTGTGCCAGATCCTGCATTTCATGGGGCACAGGCTGCTCTGAGATAGCTCCAAGCATGGACCTACCACGAGAACTAGGTGCTGCTGCTTTCAGAACAGCGTGTCACTTGCTGTTGAAGGGTTCCCACAGAACAGATAATACCCTGTAAACTTACACCCTTGCTTGCGGCTCGTTCTTTTCCCCAGGTAGTCAAGCCCTTTCCCTCCCAAACTCCTTCCTTTGCCTTGATGGGTTCCTCCTTCCCTCCCACACCTAACTCTTTGATCTTTTTGCTGTGTGAGGCAGCCCAGCCCATCTGGGGATCCTGGCACTGCCCTCCCGGATGCTGTTGCATCGCTGCTGACTCACTGCAGCATCGGAATCCCACGCAAAGGACCTTTGGGGTTGAAGGGGAGTTAATATTTTCTGGCTGGCTGGTACAGGGCTGCCAGCACCACAGCAAAAAGTTGCTCCACAGTCGAGGGGTTGCTGGCTCTGGGCTCTCCCTGTTCAGGTTGTGCTGTCAGAGCAAGCTTTAGCAGCTTGATGTTAAGAGCTCGTCTGAGATCCACTGCTGAGAACGCTGATGGGGTTGGGCTGTTGTTAGGAATGAGAGAAAAGGGTTTGAATATTTTCTTATTGAAAAAAGGACTGGATTGGAAAGAGTACCCCTTCTCTGTGCAGACTGGAAACTGTTTAGGTGATCGTTAGTGCACCCTCAGCCAGTCTGCAGATGACACTGAGCTGAGCAGTGTGGTTGACAGACCTGAGGGCTGGTATCCATCCAAGCTTGAGAAGTAGGGCTGTGTGCCCCTCATGAGGTTCAGCCAGGCCAAGGGCAAGGTCCTGCCCCTGGGTTGGGGCAAGCCCTGGTACCAGCCCAGGCTGGGGGTGAAGGGCTGGAGAGCAGCCTGAGGAGAAGGACTTGGGGGTGCTGGGGGTGAGGAGCTGTCCAGGAGCCCCCGACAGCCTGGGCTGCCCCCCCAGCAGTGTGGGCACAGGGCAGGGAGGGGATCCTGCCCCTCTGCCAGCTCTGGGAGACCCCCCTGCAGTGCTGGGGCAGCTCTGGAGTCCTCAGCACAGCAGAGCCAGGGACCTGCTGGAGCGGGGCCAGAGGAGCCCCAGCAATGCCCCGAGGGGGGAACCCCTCTGCTGGGAGCCCAGCAGGAGAGAGTTGGGCTGGGGCAGCCACAGAGGAGAAGGCTCCAGGGAGACCTGCTGGTGGCCTGACAGGGCTTCAAGGGATGTGTTATGAAGATGGGGACAGATTTTTTAGCAGGGTCTGTAGTGATAGGACAAAGGGTGATGGTTTGAAACTCAGAAAGGGAGATTTAGACTGGAGAGAAGGAAGATGTTTTTTCCAGTGAGGGTGGTGAGCCCCTGGCCCAGGCTGCCCAGAGAGGTGGTCGCTGCCCCATCCCTGGAACCATTCCAGGGGAGGTTGGCCGTGGCTCTGAGCACCCTGCTCTAGCTGGGGATGTCCCTGCTCCCTGCAGGGGGGTTGGACCTTCAAAGGTCCCTTCCAGCCCAAACCATTCCATGATTCCATGATCTGTATCCTCCAGTATAGATCTGGTCTTTGCTACAAAGCTCCAAGTTTGCTACAAAGCTCCATATTTTGCCACATGGATTTCCACATGCCTTGCTCACATCCAGCTCCCCAGAATCCACTGGCATAAGATTGACTTTACTTTTGTGAAGCCCTCACAAGTTCTGCTGAAGTTTGCACATACAATTTCAAGCCTTTTGAAAAGAACCTGGAAGGTGGAATCATTTAAACCCTACTACAAGCAGGGACAGCCGTAGCGAAAGTTGTTCGCTGCGTTTTGCAGAACCCATTTTGACTTCACTGTAACTATTTTCCTTTAGGTGATGTGGCTTTTGGGGGTTTGTTTCACGTGAGATGTTTGCTGTCTCTTGCAGAGGTTATGGGTTCGTGAAATTCACGGATGAGCTGGAACAGAAGAGAGCACTGACAGAGTGCCAGGGAGCTGTGGGCTTGGGCTCCAAACCTGTACGCTTGAGTGTGGCTATACCAAAAGCGTGAGTATAAGAGCAGCCAGACTGTCTGAGAGCACCAGGATGTCAAATCACATTCATTTTTAAATGCCTTTTAGTGGTTTGGGTACATTTCTTGGATGTCTCCATCACAGAGTGAAGGAATATCCATGAATGTAGTAAAGTAGCTGGAGTGTTGGGGTGCACAGGGATTCAAAAAGATTCTGGCATTAGATCAAGACTAAGCATTTTGTGCTGTTTAATTGTATCCATTATTAAATACACACATGTGTATACACACTGTATTTAAATATGATTATTTTTAAAGTGTATGTTCCTTTGCATTAAATTGAAATAGTCTGCATCTGCTTATTGATTTCTGGGTAGCAAAGCTCAATTACCTTGCTAATTCTATTTTAATGTCTACTAAATATAAGTCTTTTGGGGCAGGGATTAACTTTTTTTTCTGTGTTTGTTCAGAACCTGATACAATGAGATCCTGGTCTGACTTGGGGCTCGTAGCACTAGGGTAATACGAATAATAGTAATTGCTCCCTATTTGAATAATATTTAGATTTTCAGTGACCTCAGAAGTTGGGGGGGATTGAGGAAGAGAAAAGCAGAAAAAGGGGGTCTGTCGTGGTGAGAAGATTGATGTTTCCCTTTTCCTACTTCTCACTAATTTCATCATTAGACATAGCTTTATATGTGACATATTTTCATTATCAATCAATATTTGTCATCTCATTATTTCCAATCTTGATAACCAGGTGGGATTCCCAATTCCATGAGAAGGTGAATTTTAGTCAGCTCACAGGCCTTTTTTTTTTTCTTTTTAATTTCTTCTAGTCCTTTTTACTTCATGAGTTCTTCCAACTGTGCCTTGAAGATCACCCAGTTCAGTGGGATTGGGGACAGCTAGGCATTGCTCAGGCTTCTGTACTATAGTGGCAGGAGAGAGAGGGGTTTGCCCATTCTTGCTAAAGAAAACCCCAATTCTTTGGCAAGGCTCTAAGTCTTTAACTCTTTATGTAAAGCAAGACTCAGTCCCTTGTCTCAGGAAGCTGCAGAGTACTGAACTTCATCCTATTCATCAGAAGGAAAAAGGGACCCAAGAGTCTGTATCGTGGTTCAGGATTGTTCTAATCTGAGGCTCATAGTCCTGAACTCTTCCCAAAGCCACAAAGTGATACTAAATTAACTCATAAAAATGAAAGGCAATGTTTATTAATGAAAATTAATATGAATACAGGAAAGGGCATTAAATTTAAACAACTTTCTTTCTGCAAATGTATGCAAATGATAAATACTGCTGCAGTAAATAGTGAATATATTTTAAAGACTGAAATTTGCATGTTAGACTCTGCACCATATTGTGTGTTAAGCTATTGCACTGCTTTTTTCCTCATTGTCCTGCATTATTTGCAACTTGTTCCTGCTTTGTTTTTTGAAGTAATCGTGTGAAATCAATGGAGTACAATCAGATGTACAACTATAATTATAACCAGTATTACCAACAATATCACAACTACTATGCCCAGTGGGGCTACGACCAGAACACGGGCAGCTACAGCTACAGCTACCCCCAGTATGGATACACACAGAGCATGATGCAGGTAGGACAGCACGATGAGCTAGCTCCTCAGGGAGCTGTCAGCACAGAAACGTGATGGGCACGTTGTATCTTCAAGATCTGGGGTCTTAATGTAGCTGCTTGATGAGGAAGCAAAACTATTTAGCAGCCCTCAGTGTTTGTGGGGGTTTTCTGTAGGGGGTGTTGCTGGGTCTGGAGGGGTAGAAAGGTTTGGAGGAGTAAAGGAGGATCTGGAGACCTATCAAGATTTCTCAATACAGTCGTCGTGGTAGAAGGGCTCTCTTGGTAAGGTGGACAGGCAGTGCTGAGACTGGAAGAAAGGAGGAAACTTTTGCTGCTGAGGGTGGTGAGCCCCTGGCCCAGGCTGCCCAGAGAGGTGGTCGCTGCCCCATCCCTGGAACCATTCCAGGGGAGGTTGGCCGGGGCTCTGAGCCCCCTGCTCTAGCTGGGGATGTCCCTGTCCCTGCAGGGGGTTGGACCAGATGACCTTGAAAGGTCCCTTCAACCCAAACCAGTCTGGGATTCTATGAGGACTGCCTCCTGGGATCCTTCATAAGTCTTGTTGTAGAGGGCAGGACAGATCAGGAAGACCATCCAGCTTCACCACAGGAATTTCAGCTGCTGCCTCTGTTCAAAGTTTGGTGGGAGATCTCCCCTGTGCAGTCTGCTGGGAGTTGAACACGGGGTTTATGTGTGAAGAATTCTGTTGTAATCAGTTAGATATAAAAGTCAGTCTGTGACAGGTGATGCTTTAAAAAGAACAGATAAATATCTGCTGTCCTAAGGGGTTTGTATTGCCTTGCAGACATATGAAGAAGTTGGTGAGGATGCATTGGAAGGTAAGTTTCTCACATTCTTTTTGAAGTTGTCTGATTTGCACTGTTTGGATCAGAGGTAGTGTCTCTCCAACTGGCCCTGGGTTTTGATGTCTAATATACCTCTATCTTGGACTAAATCTGAGAAAATTCAGGGGTCACTATCACCTGCCACAATTGCATCCTTACTTTACAGTTACTGTTCCTTGTTGGGAGTGAAACTAACTGACTTCACTGGCATGGAGATTTTAATCTTCTATAGGAACAGGATTAACCCTTTTTTTAGTATTTTTTCTGGTATACTACAAAACCAGTGTTGATATTCTGGTTTCCTGTAAAAACTTGGAATTTAGAGCCCAGGATACTTCATGGTGCTTTTAGTTTAAAAAAGAAATAATATCAGTTAGCACACTGCTAAAATATTTCCTTCAGCAGTCATTGCTTGAAATGAGCCACTAAAGCTCCTTGGGGTTTTAGATGGATCAATGAGCAGTTTTCATTTGTTGGTGCAAGAACAAAATCATTTCATACCAGCAGTTCCAAAACTGAGTGCAATATGCACTAGGTAATGTATCTTATCTGATTTTAAAAAAATATTAAATCCCATGGTAACAGTAGAAAGCAGCTGGATCCTTTACAGGATCCATAGGGATCAGTAATGATGTCAGTGAGAAAGCCCTTTAATGGTTTTGAAAAGCATTACAGGAGAATTTGCCTTTTGCTGAGACCCAGGCCTCTGGTCAGAGTGTCTCTGGGGTGTCTTTTTCTCGTTGGTGTAATTAATAGGTTGAAATTTGTAGGGAACTGAAATGTATCACCAGTGTCTCATTCCTTCTTCTTAATTCCGTTCTCCTGCCATGTGTTACAACATGGTGCAGCTAAAACTGAACATTTACAAGCATTCTGAGCTGGTTTGTGCTTTTACAAACACATTCCTGATGTGTTTTGTGGGTTTTCCACCCTCTCAGCCTGTTGATAGAGACTCTATAAGAGTCTCTGACAGCCTCTTCCTAACCCATGTGATGGTGCTGCTCAGGTCAGCTGGGGAGCAGCTGGTGGCTGGTGGTAGGTGAGCTGCACATCCTCCAAGTGGTTTGGGGAATGCCATGAGCTGATTTTTGGGAACTGTTCCATGTAGCAGCCAGTCCTGGGAACATTTTGTGACTGCCCCCACATTGGTTTGAATAAAACAAACCCGTTTACGGGGTTCTGCCACGCTCAGCCTCATTTCTCTGCCTCATCTTCCCCCCTGCAGATCCAACACCTCAGCTAGACGTCCAGGAAGCAAACAAACAGTTCATGGAGCAGAGCGAGGAGCTCTACGACGCCCTGATGGACTGTCACTGGCAGCCTTTGGACACGGTCTCCTCAGAGATCCCAGCAGTGTTATAGCCCCGTGGCGGGGGCGCTGTGCCCGGGCCAGATCCCGGCCGCGCCCCCCGGACCCTCCCACAGCCCCGGACCTGCAAGGAGCCAGGGGAGGCCCCTGCTCCACCCAGGGCTGCTGCTCTCCAAGTACAGGAGGACTGTGGCCTTCCCTGTACAGGAGTGTCAGAGGAGCATCGTGGTGACTCCTGTCCACGGTGGAAGTTGGAACTGCAACAGTTTTATTCCTTTTGTCTTGAAATGAACTCTCGGTGCTTAACCGGGAATTGTAATTTATAAACTTTCAAGGAGATGGCACAGGGAAAAGACTCTACTCCAACCTACAATAAAAAAAAAAAAGTTGGTCTTTTAAGTAAAATTACCCTTTGCATTTTGGTTCCTGCCCATCTTTTTGTTTTGCTGCCCATTTAATTGTCTTCAGGCGTTTGATCCAACTCTCATGAATGTGTTATTTTAAAAAAAAATCATTGTTGGATGCCACCAAAATGTCTCAGGAGGTTTCTAGTGACTGGGTAAGGTTGCTGGGACTTGAGCATGGGAAAGAACCGTGTAGGTGGAAGCTGATGTTCTTTTTAACTGAAGTTGTGATCTCGAGCTAGCAAGTTTATAGCTCAATGTTCTTCAGCAATCTACCTGGAGAGCATTTTGGAGAGTAAAGACAGAAAGGAGTGTTACAAAACTGCTACAGCCTGATGCCTTCTACCTGGTGATCTTGCACGTCTGGTTTCCTCCTCCACCTGTGTCTGAGGAAATAATTCCCCACGGGTCAAGCAGTTTAAAACCCATTGACCAGCAGCTTCATTTAACTGTTCTTTTGTGTATCATGCCTTTTTCTCATTGTGGACGCACCTTGATGATCTCATTAAGATGTAAAGATTTCGTAGCGTCTTCCACTGTCCTGTCAGAGGGAATATGGTGAAACTGAAGATCTTGCAGCAAAAAAAAAAAACGGGTCAGAGCAATCTAATATTGTGCAACAAATTGTTGCTCACCTGGAGAGCAGTTTTCTACTGGATGTTGTATAAGCTGGATGGACGAGCAATATATTTAAACTAATATTATGTTGCATTAGAGGTGAAAGTGAAAATAATAGCACTTATGTACATGTTATAAGCCCTTTTCAGGCTTTTGTGCCTTAAATTCTTGGAGAAATAGGAACGGATAAACTACCTGTAATAAATGTCTATCCAAGAAACAGTTCGGTGACCGAAATGGCTGCCGCGAAGCGTTCCGGTGCCTCCCTGCCCGTGTGGAGGTGGAGGTTTGCCACAGAATTTCAATACTTTCATAAAAAAAGCCTACTTCTGCTACATCTCTGTTCGTGTCCCTGATTACGACGGCATGGGCAGGCTGGGCTCTGTCTCTGGAGCACGGCAGTGAGGGGAGCGGCGCCCTGCGCTGGAGCCAGGATCCCCGAGGCAGCGGAGCCGGGGGGCTGCGGAGGAGAGGAGGGGCTGTTGTCTCCTGCTGGAGCTGCTCGGCTCAGGGGATCCCCTCTTCTGGAGAAGAGCTGCCTCAGAGGTGATGTAAAGAAGCGGTTTTATGTTCTGCTGTTAAATGGTTTGCTGTGACTGTGCTGCACCAGCGCTCCCCTGGGTGCTCGTCACTCCCTAACTCGCTACATGAAGTGACCTGAAACCACCCTTAATTTATCAAACACCAAGTTCTGCTGCTTTTCTAAGGCTGTCCTGTGTAATATTCATAGACCCATAGAATCATTAAGGTTGGAGAAGACCTCTAAGATCATCAAGTCCAACTGTCAACCCAACACTCCCATGACCACTAAACCATGTCCCCAGGTGCCACCTCTACATGTTTTTTGAAGCCCTCCAGGGCTGGGGACTCCTCCACCTCCATGGACAGCCTGGGCCTTTCACCACTTTCAGTAGAGAAATTCTTCCTAATATGCAATTGAAGCCTCCCCTGGCACAACTAAGCCCATTGCCTCTCGTCCTATCCATAGTTACTTGGGAGAAGTATTCCCAGGTCATGGATAAACCAGATCCCTCCCAGCCTGGCTGCAGGGTGGTTGTCACTGAGCAGCACCCACACAGGCAGTACACTGTGGCAAAAATCATTTTCACCCCTGCTTTTGGTTTCGGTAATGGGAAGAAAGCTGGTGATGATGAATCCACTGGATCCCCTGGTTTCTAGGAGTTCCTTGTGTCTACACACACTTGGGCCCTTAGGTGGAGACCAATCTGGGAGCACAGCGGCCAGCAAAGGTTCTCTGTTGAAGGCTGTTTACTGGTGCTCACACGGTTCCTTTCAGAAGAGAGGTGGATGTGAGGCTTCAGGCCACATCCCCTCGCTGTGTGAGCCAGCCTCTCGGGCTGGTTTGTGAGAATCCAGGCCCAGGTTCTGCTGAGCTGTTCATCTCTGCCCTTTTTTCTGCCTATCGCTTACTCACCTTAATGTTCGTTTCCAGCTCCCGGCCATTATTGCAGCATCTGAAGCAGAGAGGAGACTTTCATGTGGAGCTACAGAACAGCCGGTCACCTGGATTTTGTAGGGTGTGTGTTTTGGAATCCAAGTTAAACAGAGTGGGGGATTTTACATCTCCTGGATGGCCACGGGAAAAGCCCTGAGGAATGACCATTTAGTGTAACACAAGAGGAAAGAGGAGGACTCTGTGTAGCAAGGTAAATTCCCCTTTATCTTTACCTGCCAAGGGCAAGAAATCTGAGGCAGTTGACATCCCAGCTTGCTGGGATTATGTAATTCTTGAAAATTGCATCCAAAGCTGCAACTGAGATTAGGAAGCATTCTGCTTTTCAGCACACAGGCTTTACAGGTAATTACAGGAACGAGTCAAACGCTCTCACCGTGGTGATGAAGTTGGGATGATCCCATTGCAATTACTCTAAATTACCAGGATTCTGGGATTACCATTTGAGTTACAGGGATTGAGAAGTGTTGAGCCAACTGCAGAGCTGGAGGGATGTGGGCGTTGGGCACGAAGTGATGGTTTCCAAAGAGCAAGCTGCAAGGCTGTGGGGTGGCCTCTTGCCATTAATGTGTGGCTAATTAAAAAGCTTGATGGTTAGTGTTGGGGGTGGCCTGGGAGAAACTCCAGCCGGCTTCCAGTGGGGTGAGTCTGAAACTGTTTGGGTTTTTTTAGCAAATGAGGGTGTGTACCAGGGTTGAGGGGTCCGATGGGGGCCAGCAATGGTGTTTTCCCTGTGTCTGACTAGAGAAAACCCCTTTATTTGGACTGATTTCAGGAGACAGGTTCATATCCCACACACCAAGAGGCACCGAACACCTCAAGGTGTTTCTCTGAATCCCTTTTGAGGAACAGAGATTGATTCTGATCTTTGTGTTTCTCTTTACTGGTTAATCCCCAGCTTCTGCTAAACAAGATCTGAGAGGAATTTTTACCTTCCAGCCTTGCTATCTCCCAGTGCATCTTGTAAAACATACTGGATACACCAGTTTCTGGATTTAACTTGGGATTTGCTTAGACATGAAATTAATTCAATGGCAGGCTAGGGTATGAATTTTAAATGTGGTTGTTACGTCTAGAAACAGATAGAGCCAGTTCAGAAGATGTCACTCTGACAGAACTCGCTTTAGTTTCTCCCTGGTTAGAGCATTTCTCCAGAAAATATCTCCTTTTTTATCCAAATTATTATGCTTTTCTTAGCAGTTATTCCCAGTCACAATGGTTTTACCAAGTGCAGTCAGTTTTGTAGGAAGGGCTTTTGGGGGTACTGCTTGGAGCACACTCAGCTTTTCTCAGAGGACACCACGCTGCTTCTGCTGGGAGTTCTTCCCTGAGCTCTTCTCTGCAGGTTGTCTGCTCCCACCTGTCTGGTGGTGGGAATTGCAGCCTCTTCCAGCATTGGCTCCTCTTCCAGCATTGGCTTCTCTTCCAGCATTGGCTCCCCATCCTGAAAAAAAAATGCTCCAGAAGAGGCTGACATTAGGCTCCCGGCCACGCCAGAAGGTTTCATCAGGGCTTTGCAGACCTTGTGGCCAAGCACTGCAGACACACAGTGGGATTTTCTCTGCTCCACTTTGAATCTCCATCCATCTTCTCGTCTACTGAGCATCCATCCTTTAGTTTTTGTTATTGCTCTTTGAGGTTTCTCCTCATTCAGCATTTGGATGAATCTCTTCCCAAACCCTTGATGTTGACCAAGGTTTTAATTTTTGGGGAGGTTGGGGTTTTTCTTTCTGCAGTGAGCTCCCAGTTTCTGTCCAGACCTAGGATTTGACAGGGAGATTTCTGGATTTGCTCTGCACTGGTCGCTGTGCCAGGGAGCATTTGGGCTGCCCAGGGAATGCCTCGTGACTTGGCAGAGCAGCTGCAGGGTCTCTGAAGGAGGTGGAGGATGGGACCAGCTGCTTGTAACCTGTCCCCACAGGCTCTGACAGGGGTTTTTTTTGGAAGAGCTTGGTCACGCAAGGGTTGGGGCTCACTTCCAGACTTCTTTAAATGGGTGCTGGGGTTGTTTTATTGGCGATCTGGCATGTTTGTCATGGAGTTAACAGCTTGAAACAACAATTCTTAGAATCATAGAATTGTTTTGGTTGGCAAAAGCCTTTAAAATCCTTGAGTCCAACTGTTCCATGAGCACTGTGAATTTTACTCGGAACAAATTAAAAACTAACCATTGTTCTCCCTTATCCTTTTTGCACTTTCTCCAGGGCAGGAAACAATCTTGGGCTTTTCAGCCTCATTTCTCATGGTGGCAGAAATTTCAGCAGTACTTTCCAACAAGCTGGCAGGCAGTCTCAATTCAAATCCTTTCCCCTGATTGTGCATCATGAGCCAGGAGCCTGCCAGAGGTATTGTTTTGGCAGATAGACTTTCATTTCCAAGAAACTTTCCTTCCATCCCTGAGGGTGGGGTGTTCCCCCCGCCTTCCAAAAAGGAGGATGGAGTAGGAAAAATGTGGCTGCTGCCTTCACCTTTTTGAAGAGCAACCACTGACCTTGCAGGGAGGAGGTAAAACTGTCCTTGTGCTACGTAGACCAGAGATGCACTGAGGTGGGGAGGG